TTTACATTTGATTTGGAACCAGTTCCAAGTTATTTAAATTAGATAATAAGACAATAGAGGTAATCTCTAGCAAAGATAATTTAAATAGCTTAGAATGCAACTTACCAATACATAATTATGCAATTTTACAAAATAACAATAATAAAAACTGTATCAACATGATGCATCAAAATATACAAGGTATGTTAGGCAAAGAATTAGAAATTGAATTATTTTTAAATAGTAACAGTATACATATTTTATGTATTACTGAACATTGGTTTAAAGATTACAACTCCATATTTAATTTCAGTAATCACCAGGTGGTCAGTTCGTTCAATAGAGATACTAAATTACGTGGTGGCTCCTTAATATTAGCTAATAAATCCTTAGCATGTAAAGAAAGTAAAGACATTGTGAGCCTCTCTGTTGAGCGTACTGTAGAAATGGCATGTGTTGAGCTTGAGCACCTTATTGTTGTCAGTGTTTACAGACCCCCATGTTCAAGTTATGATACTTTTGAAAAAATTATGGAAGAAGGTTTAGTTAAGCTTAATAAACAGAATAAATCTCTTGTAGTGTGTGGAGACTTTAATATCAATCTCCTGGAAACTTCTTCCATCAGTATTAAATTTTGTTCTATGTTCAAATCCTATAATCTTAATAATTTATTCTTTGACGCTACACATATTGCAGGGTGTAGTGCAACTTGTATTGATAATATTTTTACAGGTGTTGTACCAATCAACAAATCAATAATTCAAAAACTTAGTTCAGTTAGTATCACTGTGGACAACTGGTTTCGTTACCTTATATGCACAAAAAACAGGTAATTGAGAAAATTGTGTTTGTTCCTATTAATGCAAAACGCCTGGAGAGATTTAGAAGTAATATGGTTAACTTTCATCCCTTTCTTATAAGAACAATGCAGACTATTTATATAGAGAATTATTTACCCTTATAAACAATGAATTTAATAAAACATTCACTTCTAAAACATTCTCCAGAAACAGTCGCAAGGCATTTAAAGAGTGGGCGACAGTAGGAATTCATAAAAGTAGACGAAGGTTATATGACCTTTACCATGAAAGATCGTATAATCTTTCCGATGCTTTTAAAGAATATGTAAAAAATTATTCTAAAATGTTTAAAAGAGTTTGCTTCACAGCCAAATCATTACATATTAGTAACAAAATTAAGACGGCTAAGAATAAAATTAAAATGACGTGGAGTATAATTAACAGCGAAACCGGTAAAGAGAAACCTCGTAACTCAAACTATCAATTAAAAATTAATAATGAATTGACTAAATCAAATCAAGAAGTTGCAGCGGTGTTTGAGAAATCTTTCACTGATGTTCCTATCTTGACAACAGAATCATTGAATACTTCTCCAACTGTCGCCGAGTTATTCCTTAAACAGAATGTTAATACCTGTTTAAAAGAATTTAGATTTGAAAAAGTATTACCGCATAATATTGTAAAATACTTCAAAACCATTGATGTAAAGAAAACCGCAGATTTGTGGGGGATTTCCGTTACTGTGATTGCGTCCATAATAGATTTAATTGCAACTCATCTTGCTAATATTTTTAATACTTGTATCGATTCTGGTGTGTTTCCTGATTTAATGAAGTATAGTAAAGTAATACCTTTATTTAAATCTGGTAGTACATTGGACCCCGCTAATTATAGACCTATTTCTGTACTACCAACTCTCAGTAAAATTTTTGAAAAAATAATTTTGGATCAATTGTTAATTTTTTTTAATACAAATAAATTACTTCATAAAAATCAATTTGGTTTTACAAGGGGTCGCTCGACGTCTGACGCCGGTGTTGAGCTTATGAAATATATTTTTAATGCCTGGGAGAATTCACAAGATGCCTTAGGTATTTTCTGTGACCTTTCCAAGGCTTTCGATTGTGTTCATCATGATACATTAATCAGGAAACTACAACATTACGGTGTAAAAAATTTGGCGCTTAAACTTATTACTTCATATTTAAGTAACAGAACTCAAAAAGTCGTCATTAATGGTAAATGTTCCTCCGGATCGGTAGTATAAATGGGCGTTCCTCAGGGCTCGATTCTTGGCCCATTCCTGTTCTTAATCTATATTAATGACTTACCTTATCTTGTAGGGGACAATCACGATATACTATTATTTGCTGACGATACCTCTTTAATTTTCAAACTGAAACGGCAGTCAATTAAATATGACGATGTAAATAATGCTCAATCGAAACTAGTACATTGGTTTAACGCCAACAATTTGCTCTTGAACGGCAATAAGACAAAATGTATTAAATTTACAATACCTAATGTAAAACATTCGAAAACCATTGTGCTCTTAAATCGGGAGAGAAGTTGAGTCTTGTGGATACCACTGTTTTTCTTGGTATTACTATCGACGCGAAACTTCAATGGGGCCCCCATATATCTAAATTAGCAAGCAGACTTAGTTCTGCAGCATATGCTGTAAGAAAGATTAGAAGTCTCACAGATGTTGAGACAGCTAAGTTAGTGTATTTTAGTTACTTTCATAGCGTAATGTCTTATGGAATTTTGCTATGGGGTAATGCGAATGATATTGAAGCTATATGTGTTTTGCAAAAGAGAGCCAGCCGTTCGGGCGATTTTTAATCTAAATTGTAAAGAGTCCCTCAGAGAAAAATTTAAAGAAATAAACATATTAACTTTGGCATCGCAATATATTTATGAAAATGTAATGTATGTACATAAAAACATAAATAGCTTTAATAAGAATAAGGATGTTCATACATTAAACACTAGGAACAAACATAAGCTTGTAATGCCAGTTACTAGACTCCACAGAATTAGTAATTCATTTATGGGGCAACGTATACGCTTTTACAACAAAATCCCAGAACATGTTCAAAGTTTGTCAATAAACAAGTTTAAAAGTTTTATTAAAGAAAACTGTACAAAAAGGGTTATTATAATATCAAGGAATACATGAATGAAAATAACCCCTGGGAATAATTTTGTTTATACAATTTTAAAATTCTTTAAAATTGAAGTCCCGCTGGGTTTCTTGCTGGTTCTTCCCAGGACAGAGGTATTTTCCGAACCAGTGTTAAATAAAATAATGACTTTCAATAATTATTATGTAATAATCCATATTGAATAAAAATTATTCTTATATATTCTATTCTATTCTAGTCCTCACGGGTTACAACGCATCTGCATTTTGATTCTTAATCGAGGATAAATGCAAATGTCTATAGGACACAGCATCCACTTACCATCAGGTGGACTGTGTGCTCGTTTGTCACACTAAAAAATATTATAGTTGATATTAAAAAAAGTGAGTGTTTGCAGGCCGACGCGTGTGAAGAGCGGCTGCGGTGGCAGCAGTGGCGGTGGCAAGGTACGAGGAGGCCGTGGCAACGGTGCCCGCGAGTACTCGGCTCTGGAAGACGCGGCCATCGTGTCGTGGATACGTGCCGGCAATCGGGCGCGCCTCGTCAATGGAAACAAATTGTGGCGCGAACTGCAGTCTGAATACTCCGCGCGCACAGGCACCGGTAACTAGTAATTATAACTTTTAACAAAAAGTGAAAGCCGTCTTTAAAGTACAATTTTTTTTTTATATAGAAAAGGTGCGAAGGCGGCTCACCTGATGTTAAGTGTCGACCGCCACCCATGAACAACTGCAACGCTCTTTTAAAAGGTGTAAGCTCGTTTCATGAAGGATTCTCCTCGGTCCCTGAGTCAAAAATCGCCGATAACAATTCCACAAAGAAGTTATGCGAAGACGAAAACGCCCAGTAGTAGACCGCTAGGCATCCAGATTATGTGATACTAAAAAAGATGTAATTTTTTGCCTCTCTCGGTAGCGGAACTTTTAATTTATATGGAAAAAGAATCTTCACAATTGGGTCTCAATTGGCGAAGATATTGCGTAACATACGTAAGACCAACAGTGGTAGAGCCACGCGGCAGCTTTTGCTGTCGCACGGATGGGCCGGCTCGAACCGGGGTAGTACCACGACCTCACAGAAAACCAGCGTGAAGTAGAGGTTTATCTCTGCGTTTCGCTTGGTGAGTGCAGGTGGCCGGAGGCCCTTTTTACTGGAAATGAGGCATTCCATCTTAGTCCTCACGGGTGACAACGCATCTACATTTTGATTTGTAATAGAGGATATATGTAGATGTCTATGGGCCGCAGCAACCACTTACCATCAGGTGGACTGTGAGCTCGTTTGTCACCCTCATTGTATTAAAAAAAAAGAAAAAAACATACATTCTAATTGTGGACCAACTCCTTTTTTGAAGTCGGCTAAAAATGACGCTCCACACAGCTACACTACACCACACGCCGCTCCATGCATATATACAAACCAATACTCAACTTTGCTACACACAGCTATGTTACACTACATATCACACCTTGATCTATACATACCCGATACGTATATACGCAACACACATATATACTACACGCCGCTCCGCGTGATCTACACCAGCGGTCCGCAACCTTTTTGATATTGCGACCCCAAAATTCAAAAAAGAGTTATGAGCGACCCCAGAAAAAAAAACACTAGGTTAACAAGTGCAAAGGTTGATTCAGGTAACGAAGTTAGCTGTTTTTATTTCGTAAATTATTTATATTGAAGAGTTTATTTATTTTGGAAAGTAATATTAGAGCAAACTAGAAAATATGCATTTAACATACGAGTAATATTTATGATGGCATTAAATGAGACAAGCAATTATTTTAATATCTTATTTAAATAAGAAGGTACATATACGTAACCTTATAATCTAATGTGAACCTTGTGCTTGCACACTTGCAGTCAGTATATTAATTCTTGGTGATATATTATCAGAAACAGACACCCTCAAATCAGGTTCTACGTTAAGTCTGGAGCGATATTTTGTTTTTATAGCAGTTAATGTAGAGAAAGCTGTCTCGCAAAGGTATGTAGATGCGAATGGCAGCAATTTCAGCAGAGATGTTTTGAATAACAGTGGATATTCCTTTTCCGTCATTATTCAGAACTTGGATAGATGCGTGGTTTTGAAAATAGATCGAAGGCTTTCATCGGACATTAAATCGATCAGCTGCTCCTTTTCTTTTAAGTTCATCTTCACAGTGTTAAGATCACAACTGAATGGATTAATTATCCATTGGTAGCCGTGTGACGTATCTGGGAATCTTATTTCCAAGTCTTGCTTAAGGTTTGTAAGATGCATCATGATTTTGGTTTTAATTTCTTCTTCGAGCTTTATATTGTTTTCTTCAGAAAATTTTTCCAAACATGCAAACATCTCGTAGTTTTCAGCATTGATTTCGTCTATCCACAAACTTATTTTCCTACAAAAAGCTTTTATTTTGTTAGCTAAAATCAATACATTTGTACTCTTCCCTTGCAACGATTGATTCGGCGTATTTTACATTCTTATTTTATATTCCCGACGTTTCACAAATAAAATACGCCGACTTGAAGATCTCAAAACCAAGCGCGCAAGATACATAACAGCTTTAAACTTCTTGAAGAGATGCAGAGACCATAATCTCATTCCTACGTGTGTCAAGATATCTACTAAAAAAGACATTCGAGGAAGCGCGAAGATCTTAAATCAGGCAAACAAAAAATTGTTAATAACGGTGATTCAGCAAAAACGTACCGATCTATGTTTCATTAATAAAACCATAGACAAATCGTCCAGTGATCTAAAGACAGTTTTATCGACATTTGATTATAAGAATTGCATGGAAACTTTAGACAAACGTGAAACAACTAAATACAATGAATGCAAAAATAAACATATAGATAAATACCAAAAACTAACAACCAAATCAAATGTCCAACGCCAATGTCAACGTAATAACGGAACGCAATCATTGACAACAGACGCGAGTAATAAACAACGTGCGGTCTATCATCATTCTCTAAACCATTTCCCATTATCTGGGGTCGGCGCAGTAAATCTTTTTGTTCCATTCCTCTCTATCAGCCGTCATTTCCATACTTACTCCTTTCATTCTCATATCACTCTTCACACAATCGATCCATCTTTTATTCGGCCTTCCTCTGCCCGTGTGTCCCTCCACATTCATATTCAACACTCGTTTTGTGACATGACTTTCATTCCTCCGCATCACATGCCCAAACCATGCCAATCTGCTTCCTCTCACCATTTCTACCACTGGCGCTACTTTCAGGCTTCCTCTTATATACTCATTCCTTATCTTATCCATCCTTGTCACACCACACATCCATCGTAACATTCTCATTTCATTCGCATGCAGTCTATTTTCATCCTTCTTCTTGACGGCCCAGCATTCACTTCCATACATGACGACAGGTCGGATGATCGATTTGTAAATTTTCCCCTTCAGCCTTATTGGCATTCGAGGATCGCACGTTGTGGCTGTGACCTGTCGCCATTTCATCCACCCTGCGTTAATCCTATGCTGCACAGCTCTATCTATTCCGCCGTCGCCTTGAATGAGGGAACCGAGGTACTTGACATCTGAGCAGATAGGCAGTATAGCGCCATCCAACGACATGGGTACAGGACTGGAAAGACCGCCGAAATCACAGCACAGATATTCGGTTTTGGATCTGCTGATCTTCAAGCCAACACTTTCCAGCCTCCGTTGCCACCCCGTCAGTCTGCTCTGTACCTCGATGCCTTCTTCCCCGACAAGCACGATGTCATCGGCAAAGAGCATGCACCAGGGTGCCTCATCCTGCAGGTCCGACGTCAAAGCGTCCATAATCAGTAGGAAGAGGTAAGGGCTCAGTGCCGACCCTTGGTGCAGCCCTACCGCCACATCGATACTGCCCGTAGTTCCCGCGGCAGATCGTACACATGTACGGGATGCTCTGTACATAGCACGGACCAACCTCACATACTTCCCAGGCATACCTTTCATCTTCAACGCCCACCACAAGACCTCACGGGGAACCCGATCGTACGCCTTTTCAAGGTCGACAAAAACCATGTGCAGATCTTTATGCACGCGCTTGTACTTTTCGCACAATTGGCGTAATGCGAAAATGGCATCTGTCGTACCTCGACCGGGCATGAATCCGAACTGGTTTTGTGTTATCTCACACTCTTCTCTCATTCTTCTCTCTATTATTCTTTCCCAGACTTTCATCGTATGTGACATGAGCTTTATTCCCCGGTAACTGCTGCAGTTTCGAACGTCTCCTTTGTTTTTAAAAATGGGAACCAGTATACTACTGCACCATTCCTCAGGTATTTGTTCTTCCTGCAACAATTTACCGAAAAATAAACTCAACCACTTCCATCCATCCGCCCTCAGCAATTTCCACACTTCTACTGGTATTCCATCTGGGCCGACCGCCTTCCCATTCTTCATATTCCTAACAGCCATTTTTACTTCTTCCACACTAATTTCTCTCACTAAGCCCATATTCACTGGTGGGTTTTCAAGCATACCATTCCATTCATTCTCCTCATTCATCAATTTCTCAAAATACTCCTTCCATCGCTTCTTTATACTTTCATCGTCAGTCAAAATCCTTCCAGAATCATCTTTTATACATTTTACATGTGAAACATCTCTTCCATTCCTTTCTCTCGCTCTTGCAATTTGAAAAAGTAGTTTTTGACCTTCGGGGCTTTCAAGGGACCGATATAATTTATCGTGCGCCTCTGCCCTACAAATAGCAACTTCCTTCTTCGCTCTCTTCTTACATTCTTTATACGCCCCTCTCTTACTTTCTTTTATGGATTCATTCTGGTCTTCTACGCTCTGCCATTCTTTAAAGGCATTTTTCTTTTCTCTCAAAACTTCTCTAATACTTTCACTCCACCACCACCCATCCTTATCTATCATACGCTTCCCTTTTGTTTCTCCTAACACCTTCCTTGCCACACTTCGGATACAATCAGCCATTTCCTTCCAGCACTCATTCACACTCATTCCTTCCATATCACCCATCTCTATCATCTTGTTTACAACTAGCTCTCTAAATTCACTTGCATACCCCTCCTTATGCAACAAATGCCACTTTATTTTGGGTGGGGGACGATCCTTATGTTTGTTGAGGCGAACAGTTAAGCAGATGTCAGCCAGCAGGATTCGGTGCTGGGATACTAAGTCCTCACCTGGAAGCACTTTGCAGTTTTTTACACTCTTGATTTGGTTCCGTCTTATCAGAAGATAGTCGATCTGTGTCGCGTGGTGGCCACTTTTATAAGTAACAAGATGCTGATCTCGTTTTTGGAACCACGTGTTTACTACAGCCAGGTCGAAAGCACATGCTGCTTGCAGAAGAACTTCCCCCTCACGGTTCCGCACTCCGTACCCCCATCCACCGTGTACTCTTTCATACCCGTCATTCACTCTCCCTACATGTCCATTAAAATCTCCTCCCATATAAACATCCTCACGCTCAGGTATTCCCATCATCATACAATCAAATTCCTCCCAAAACTTCTCTTTCACACTCTCTTCACAGCCTGTTTGCGGAGCGTACACACTTACAACATTCACTACTTTGTTTTCAATCATTAATTTAACAACTATCATTCTGTCATTTACTCTTTTCACATCTGTCACTCGTTCTTTCATTCCACTATCTAACACAACTCCTACTCCATTTCGCTTCCCATCACTTCCACAATAATAAAACTTGTATCCCTCCCCAATCTCTCTTGCTTTATTGCCCTTCCATTTTGTTTCCTGCAAACAGGCAACATTCACTCTTCGTCGTTTCAAAACATCTGCTAACTCTCTTCCTCTTCCAGTCATCGTACCTATATTCCAGCTTGCAAACCTCACTCTGACATTCTTCTCTCTCCGGGCTCGCCTCTTACGTCGCACCCGCTCCGTAAGGTGCGACAACCCTTGCCCACTTCCCACAGGAGCCGGGTGCTGCCCCTGCGCGTCGCCTGCGGGGTACGCCCTAGCCCTGTCATATGTCCCACAACTCGTACTATTCATTTACTGCATGGGATTTGGCAAAAGTTTTACAGTCGGCCGCCTGCCTGACACCAACCCTCTTTGGGTATGCTATTGCTGGTAGAGGAAGCTACCATTTTGGGAAAAGGAAAAAGAAGTTTGGGGGGTAGGAGCATAGGTGTAAGGATACTGTTATCTCGGCAGGAAAGGTATGAGAATAACAGTAGCTCGGGGAGCCGGGGTCGCGTACCCGTATTCCATAACAGGATCACCGGAAAGGTAGACCAGCATGAAAACCCCCTGACTGAACGTGCGGTCTATAACCTGTCAAAACAATCTCTAGACGACGCGACAATAAAAGTTTTGGCCAAAGGTATGAATTTCGCTATAACACCGCAAAAAATTCCGTATGAAAACATTATCTGTAGTGTTGAGGACTGTCTGTATAAAAATAATATTGGTAAAGAAGATTTAGAGGCTATACGTCAAGACATTTCGTCCTTGTTACGTCGAAGCTCAGCGCCGAAATTAAATCTTCCCAAAGATGAATTTACTGCATTGAAAAACTTACGCAACAAACTAGATCTTACGATTCTCCGCGCAGATAAAGGTAATGCTACGGTTATAATGGATACGTCGGATTACAATTTTAAAATACAACAACTTTTATCGGATGAAAGTACGTACGTAAAGGTCAAAACAGACCCTACAACTAATACGCTTAAAACAACTAGCGATCTAATAAAGAAATACTCCGAGAAACTGAATCTAGACGTAAATTCGATAATACCTACGTGTGCCAAACCGCCGAAGTTGTATGGGTTACCAAAAATACACAAACCGAACGCTCCATTACGTCCAATAGTGAGTCAGATCGATTCGCCAACTTACAGATTGGCTCAACACTTAGCAAAAGTACTATCACCACTCAGAGGACATACAAGAGCACACACTAAGGATTCATACCATTTTGTCAGTGAGATAAAAGACCTATGTCTTACTGACAATGAAACTATGGTCAGTTTTGATGTTCAGTCTCTATTTACATGCCTACCTGTTGAAGACTGCATCTCAATTATAACTAGGAAACTAGAGGAAAACAACATGCCAGCAGAATATGCAGTATTACTCAGACATTGCCTTACATCTGGCTACCTATTGTGGAAAGAACAGTTTTACAAGCAAGTAGATGGTGTTGCGATGGGCTCACCGGTATCTCCCATTGTCGCTGATATTTTCATGGAGGACTTTGAGGAGAAAGCCCTGCTTACTGCACCAGTAACTCTAAGTTTCTACAAGCGGTACGTAGACGATACTTTCACAATTTTACCATCAGACAAAGTAACTGCATTTTTAGAACATCTTAATTCCATAAACTCTAAAATTCAATTTACTATGGAGTTAGAGGCAAATAATTCTTTAGCTTTCCTAGATGTGTTAGTCATTCGAAATCCTAATAACACCGTAGGTCACACTGTGTATAGAAAAAAGACCCATACAAACCGATACTTAAACGGTGAATCCCACCATCACCCTTCACAGTTAGCTACCGTGGGCAAATCTTTGTTGCAGAGAGCACGAGGGATCTGTGACAGCAAACACCTGGCCGCCGAGCTTCAGCACGTCAAGCAGGTTCTGCACGACAACAAGCTTCGGGTTCCGCGCCTACGTCACAGTGACCGAGTGAAGCCGGCCACAGTCGAGCGTGTGCCTGCTGTACTACCATATGTCAGAGGTGTCACAGACAAGATTGGCTACATCTTGAAGCGAGCTTCTATTAGAACATTCTTCAAGCCGCCGAAGAAGATTAGTTAGTTCTTACCATCCGTCAAGTGCAATATTCCTCTACAAGATGCAGGAGTATACAAGCTTGATTGTGAGTGTGGTCTCTCATATATAGGGCAAACAAAACGATCAATAAAAACCCGCGTAAAAGAACACATAGCTGACGTGAAGCACCAACGTTCCGGGAAGTCTGCAGTTTGTGATCATATCCTAGACGGCCCCCGTCATTACATTAGATTTTATAAACCACAAGTCCTCGCGAAAGAACATCGATTCCTGCCAAGGATGATACGTGAGGCTATTGAAATTAAAAAACATCCTAATTTCAATAGAGAGGGAGGCTGGGTACTACCACCTGCTTGGGACCCTGTAATTCATAAAATTAAAACTAAACCCAAGCATACCACTGTAAGACTTCAAGACACAGTTAGTTCATTCTGCGTAGATCGAACCAAAATTAATAATTAAAAAGCTGAAGGTACTCCGGGTTAACTTTGACATCGGGACGTCAATCACCTCAGTCCCCCGTGACCACGGTTGCTGGAGAGCAACCGAAACGTCGGGAATATAAAATAAGTTAATTAAACGCGATAAAATCCGTAAAAATAGTTTTATTCAACCAATTTTCATTAAAAAAATATTCCGCTAGCTTTGGTTCCCGTTCAAGTAGAAATATTCTGATTTCATCTTTGAGATCAAATACACGTCGGAGTATTTTTCCTCGCGATAACCACCTGACCTCCGTATGTAACAGTAGATTTTCGTATTCTGATCCCATTTCACGACATTATTTTGAAAAGGCGACTGTTTAATGCGCGAGCTTTAATAAAATTTATTATTGTTACGACTTGTTCCAACACTTTATTTACATCTGGTTGAAAATGTTTTGCTGCAAGGGCTTTACGGTGAATCATACAGTAAACAAAGCCTACGTGAGGTGCAATCTCAGTTACTTTTGCTTTGAAGCCTGTTTTGAAGCCGGTCAATGCAGCTGCGCCGTCTGTACACACAGATACATAATATTCCCACTTTATGTCATGGAGTTCAAAAAAGGTATTAACTGCATTAAAAATTGCTTCACCGGTTGTTCTTCCTTCTAATCCCTGACAAAATAACAAATCTTCGCATATGTCGTTTTCATATCGGTATCGGATAAATATCAGAAGTTGAACTACATTAGCTACATCAGTGCTTTCATCCAGCTGAATAGCATAATAGGGACTCCCTTTCACGCGATCTATAAGTTGTATTTTGATATCAGCAGCAAGTAGATTGATACGACGATGAACAGTGTCACTTGATAGTGGAATTGTTTTCAGTAAATTGGCATACTTTTCTCCTTGCATGATCGAAACCATTTTCATTGCAGCTGGCAAAATGAGCGTCTCGCCAATGTTGTGATGTTTTTTAGTTTTGGCAATCAAAAAGGAAACCTCGAAAGATGCTTGTAAGGCTTTTTGGTTAACTATTGTGTATTTTTGGAAATCAACCTGCTGTGACTTTAGTTTGGTGGCAAGTCGTTTAAAATAAGATTCATCTTTATTTTTTAACTGTGGATGCTTAGTTTCTAGGTGCCTTTTCAGTTTGGTCGGCTTCATGCTCTCATTTGCCAAAACCTCCGAACAAACAACGCACTGTGGACGTTGTTCAAAATTCAACACTGTACATTTAAAACCAAACTGGATGTACGATTCTTTAAAGATGCGTTGACGCTTCCCAGTTGTCTCCGATATAGTTGTTGCTTGTTTAGTTGAAGTTGAAGCGTCACTCTCTGTATCGATGTGTAAGGTAGATGTGGCTGTTGAACTACAATCATCGCTGTTATGACTAATAGTTATAGTAGTGGAACTAGATGTTTCTCTGCTTTCATCGATAGTAATAACACTACTAGTACTTGAAGTGGTGGCATTGGTCTCATGACTTATATTACTCGTAACAGTAGTTGTCATTGTAGAATCTGAGGCGACACTGCTGTCAAGAACTACGTGTTTAATTCTTTTGATTTGTGATGCGTTATTAGGACTTCCGCCACCTGCATCTGTAGATGTGCGTTTTATTAGCCACTTATCCATTGTTAACTGCAATAATAAATACGTATTAATAAATAAAAAATGTATTCCAAACGATTAATATTAGATTTTTCGTCATATGCTCGCGTGGTAACAGGATTTACTTCAAATTTATTTTCAACGAAGCACAAATAGACAAGCAAAAAAAGTGGCCAAGTGCGAGTCGGACTCGCCCATGAAGGGTTCCGTGGTAGCAAGTAATGATATGACTGGATGTTAGTTGTAACTTTGTTTTTCATAGTGTTTGTATGAATGACAAACATGACTTGACGAAACTATAAAGAGTTCCTTGTTTCTCAAACGGAACCCTAAAAATACATAAGTGAAGCGTAAAAAATATTTCGCGCTGGTTTTGTTATTGAACCCACGCGTCCAACATGGCCGCGCTGCGATGACGCCTCACTTTATTTTCTAAGTATGAGTGCACAGTTACTTACCGTGTGCGTGGTTATCCACGAGAACACTAATCTTCTAAAAAAACTTTCTACAGAAGTAATCTTCCGTGTTTTGACATCAATTTAGTATGTATTTGCAATCGACAAAGCGGCGATGAGTACGCACGTGCGGATAGAACTGACTGAACAGACAGACTGAACGAAGAAAGAGCGATCGGGGTGGGGGCGCGGGCGCGGGAGCGGTGAGGTTGTGACCGGCGGGACTGAACAGGTCGTACAGTCGTAATTATTTTCGATTCTCTCCGTTTTAAGGACATTGTGTAATTGTGTATGTAAAGAGAGGTTATATTTTATGCATAAACCTTAATAAAATTCTATAAATACAAGACCTTTTTGACTTTTCTGGCGACCCCATAAATATCTTTCGACTCCAGGGTTGAGCACCGCTGATCTACACTACACACACCTAACGCTGCTCCACATGAATACTACACAATACTCAACTACGTTACACATACACACACACACACACACACACACACACACACACACACACACACACACACACACACACACAGCTACGTTACACTACATGTCACACCCTTATCTATACATACCCGATACTACACAATACTTATATACGCAACACACATATACACTACACTACACGCCGCCCCGCGTGATCTACACTACACACATACAGCTACGTTACACTACATGTCACACCCTTATCTATACATACCCGATACTACCCGATACTTATATACGCAACACACATATACACTACACTACACGCCGCCCCGCGTGATCTACACTACACACATACAGCTACGTTACACTACATGTCACACCCTTATCTATACATACCCGATACTACCGATACTTATATACGCAACACACATATACACTACACTACACGCCGCCCCGCGTGATCTATACTACACACACCTACCACTGTTCCACATGTATACTGCACAATACTCAACTACGTTACATACATACAGCTACGTTACACTACATATCACACCCTTATCTATACATACCCGATACTACACAATACTTATATACGCAACACACATATACACTACATTACACGCCGCCCCGCATGATCTACACTACACACATACAGCTACGTTACACTACATGTCACACCCTTATCTATACATACCCGATACTACCGACACTTATATACGCAACACACATATACACTACACTACACGCCGCTCCGCGTGATCTACACTACACACACCTACCACTGTTCCACATGTATACTGCACAATACTCAACTACGTTACATACATACAGCTACGTTACACTACATATCACACCCTTATCTATACATACCCGATACTACACAATACTTATATACGCAACACATATATACACTACACTACACGCCGCCCCGCGTGATCTTCACTACACACATACAGCTACGTTACACTACATGTCACACCCTTATCTATACATACCCGATACTACCGATACTTATATACGCAACACACATATACACTACACTACACGCCGCCCCGCGTGATCTACACTACACACACCTACCACTGTTCCACATGTATACTGCACAATACTCGTTACCTACATACAGCTACGTTACACTACATATCACACCCTTATCTATACATACCCGATACTACACGATACTTTTATATACGCAACACACATATACACTACACTACACGTCCCCCCGCGTGATCTACACTACACACATACAGCTACGTTTCACTACATGGCACACCCTTATCTATACATACCCGATACCACCCGATACTTATATACAGACTATTTATATAGAGAATTATTTACCTTTATAAACAATTAATTTAATAAAACATTCACTTCTAAAACATTCTCCAGAAACAGTCGCAAGGCATTTAATGAGTGGGCTGCTTTTAAAGAATATGTAAAAAATTATTCTAAAATGTTTAAAAGAGTTTGCTCCACAGCCAAATCATTACATATTAGTAACGAAATTAAGACACAATATTTATATCAAATACCAGCTACAAGGGCTTCGCTCTGCCACATTGAAAAAAAAAAATGTGGACGCGGTACACGGCTCCGCACACGCCGCGCACGGTGAGCGCCAACCATTTTAATGCGCTCCCCCCGAAGGGTACGCTAAGTTGGGAACTGGACCGTAGTCCACAGCAAAATAACTGGCGAACCAGTAAAAGAGGACTTGGCCCCTTGATAGTGCGTAAGCACAAACATCGACCGAAGTCGCGCATGTCAATGCGTGTAAACGCCATACAGAATATGATCAAATCCAGCCACAGTGAATGTACGTCACACGGGTTAGGCAACAATAGGCACACTGACCATAAAAAGCCTTCCGTGAGCGCCACCACCTGCCAGACCCCCGTTCCTGCAGACATGATGTAAGTGTAAGGCATCACCACCAATTGCATGGTCAGCACAGCCAATTGGCCGCAGAGCGTGTCATGAGTCTACCGCTCACCTCAAGGGAATGGGGTCCCACGTTGCGCGGCTTTCGGCCGCAGCCTTGAGAGCCTCCTCAGATTCTCCCTTCAGCTACCACCCGCATGAGGTCGACACATATTGCTCCACCAACCAATACAATGGCAGATATAGCCAATAGGCAGTTATAAGATATTAGTAATAATTCGCCATCAGCAAGGGTTTGTGTCACTGACGTTGAGTATATGCATTTTTCGATCATGTTTGTCTCACCCACCAACAAGTTGCCATCAATCTTTCAAAGGTGGGAACTTTATAGAGATATATTATTAACCCTTAATTACTCGCGTGGGGTATATTTAACCCCACGGCGTATTTGAAGCGTCGTATCTCCGCCATTTTTAAAGTTACCTCCATGCCGTTCTTAGTAGCTGCCTAAATACCTCCCCCCGCCGCGAATCAGTCACGAGCGCCGCTCCGTGTCGTGTGGTTGTGTCAGGAGATCGTGTCTGGGGTATATATTGCCCCACGCGAGTATTCGTGCAACTTTTTTTGGACAAGTGAGTATTTTTATTTTTATTTTTTAATGTGCAGTACAGATACTAAATGGTTAGGTTTTTTTACTTATCTTTGTTTTCTGTTCTTTTTTAGGTTATAACACCTAAAATGGCAAGTAAGCGTCTTTCTAACTACCAGATTCTTGAGTGTATATTAGAAGACGACGAAGAAAGCATCATAGATAGTCCCGATGAAGATGAGGGAGACGATGAAGTGATCCAGAGTGACCACAACTCAGAATCTGAAGAAAGTGCCAATGAAACCGAGTTAGAATGGAGTGATGACGATAATGAACCGCTGAGTAGACACGCAAGTAAAGATTCTGATACTTTTATTTATCAAAAAAGAAATGCACAAAGTGGGCAAAAGAGCCGCCGCGTACTAGCGTTCGAGTTCGTAGACACAATATTATGAGGGAAACACCAGGACCTAAGGGAGCAGCCAAGGAGATACATACAATGTCAGAAGCATTCTTTTGTATGTTTTCAATGGATACTGTCATTTTAGTACTGCAACAGACCAACGATTACATAAAATCGATACAAGGAAAATTTCAACGCGAACGTGATTGCAAATTCCTAGAATACGAAGAACTTTTGGCTTACCTAGGTTTGCTTTACATGTCTGGTGTGCTGCGTTCATCTCACTTGAACTTCAAAGATCTGTGGGCTACCGATGGAACAGGCATCGAGTTTTTTCAAAACACAATGTCATTCAACAGATTTCTTTTTATATCAAGATGTGTTCGTTTTGATGACAAAAATACTAGATCTGAAAGGCAAAAGACAGACAAACTAGCAGCAGTCAGAGAGTTCACTGATTTGATGAATAATAATTTCATCAATAATTACTCTGCATCTGAAAATGTCACCCTAGATGAACAATTACCTGCCTTTCGAGGAAGATTTTCTGGTGTTGTTTATATGCCCAACAAACCCACGAAGTACGGCATAAAGCATTATGCACTCGTAGACTCGGCAACATTTTATTTACTGAAATTTGAAATTTATGCTGGAGTACAACCTGAGGGTCCATATCGAATGCCTAATGATACAGTAAGTTTGGTAAAGCGCATGACAGAACCCATCTGGGGTACTGGTCGAAACGTTACGATGGACAACTGGTTCACTAGCGTCCCTCTTACAAATACGCTTCTAAAAGATCACCAGCTTACTATGGTTGGAACTATTCGCAAGAATAAGCCGGAAATTCCAACTTGCTTCCAGCCCAAACGAACACGAGCTGAGCATTCCAGTCTGTTTGGTTTCCAAGAAGACGTAACACTTTGCTCTTACGTTCCAAAAAAATCTAAAGCTGTACTGCTGATTTCGTCAATGCATCATGACAATAAAATAGTTGAAAGTGAAAAGAAGAAACCGGAAATTATTTTGTACTACAATCGCACGAAAGGTGGCGTAGATACCAACGACCAAATGTGTGCTAACTATAACGTCGGCAGACGTACAAAGAGATGGCCTATGGTTATATTTTATCACCTTCTCAACGTTGCTGGTATCAATGCATATGTCATTTATAAAAATAAAATTGACCACGGAATATCAAGAAGGGAGTTTTTGAAGCATCTTGCAGTTGATTTGGTAAAGGCTCGCCAACAAA